TGCAAGAGTCAAAGAGTCTTTGATGGGAAAAATATGCAACGACTCAAGTGTGCCATGTGTAAGGGAGGCCCGCGGGTCCTCTCAGCTAAAATTACATGTATCGTCAAACTAGATAACCGCCTGTCTTTGGATGCCTGAGCCACGACCAACGTCCCGCGCGCGGGCGTCCAAGGTGACACCGTACGCCCGCCCTCCGCCACGCACCGCGCTACCGTCGATTGCGAAACAGACGTCGCCGTCCGGTGTCGTCCGGGCGCTGCTTGGGGACACGAGCTCGATAGAGGCCCGCCTCGATGAGCTCCAAGCCGACTTGCAGTCCTCGTTTGCCCACCACGCGACGCGCATGAACCGCCTCCAGCAACAGCGCGGCATCAACACCAAGCGCATTCTGCAGCAGCGGAACGTGAGGCCGACGCTCGCGCACCTCGAGCGAGCACCGCTTGGGGACGAGACCCTCTTGTGCCCGAGCTGCCACGCCTTTTGGAGGCGCGACGATATCCTTCCACTGCCGTCGCCATGGGCCGAGTGCCGGATCAGCGCGAGCCAGAACCACTTTTGCCACGGCGCATCACACGAGATTCGAACGTCGCCGCCGCCAGGAACCCCGCATGTCGCCACGATCGTGTTTCAATATTACGGCACGACGCAACAAGTGTGCCAATGCCCCGTCGTCGCAGCGCTGCCCAAAGCACGATCGTCCATGGACCACCTGCCCGGTAGCAAGGAGGTTGTATCCTCCTCATCAGCTGCACCTTGCTGAGATCTGAGGCCAAGTCGCCGCCGCGTCGTTGCGGATTGGCACGCCCCTTTTGATAGAGTCATCCTGGGTGTATAATCTGGTTATCAACCCTTGTAGTCTTGCGCATCATGCCTTCAACCAAAGTGTGACCGCAACTGCGGTCGCTCACATTTGCTCCACCGCACAAAGTTTCACATAGCGTCGGTCTACCATACTGCTGACAGTGCCGATCGAGCAGGAGCCCAAAAACAGTCTGCGCACCACCGCGCAGCCGAGGGCCGAGAGTTGCCGTTTGTGTTGGCCCACCAGTATTGGCCTCCGATACAAATGCCGTACATATGTATATATGAACGTGTTTCGCGTTATCTTCGATGTTACAAAGAGTTACGTAAAGACTAGCAATCTCCTTCTTCTTCATTCGCTCGCCAGGCCGTGGCTGCGCAGGCGGCGGCGCGGGGGTGCATCTTGCTCTTCTGTGGTCGCCCGGGGGCGTTTGTGGCCGCGGGTGAGGCCCATGATGACAAGCTCCGTGGATTCCTTCCAGGCTTCGCGATCGGCGGCAAATACAAGTACCGTAAAGAAGAATCTTTGCATTCCACCTTGAGCGCCTACCGACGAGAAAAACGCACCGCCGCCTGCGCAGCTACAACCCGGCGAGCGAATGGAGTGATTTCGCGCAGCACACGTGAAGCTGTGTTGGACCACGGCCAAGAATATGCGCCATCTTGAATTGTTGCCCGAGCCGCGGTTCCCGTTTTTTAGCAAGGCAGCAACGGTACGCGTCGAAGACCCATGGTCCAAGCAGCACGCTCACCTTAGCTACTCATTTTGCCCCACCGATCAGTCCCATCTTGGGCGGCGGCCTCCCAACAGGAGGCTCTACCAAGGGTTTATCCTACGTAAATATACCCTTGTTTCAATGTAGCAAAAACATCCCCTGACTGGAATCTCACCGAGTACAAGTCGTAGCAGGGTGATGACGACCGTTTTGGCATGATATTGACTGTACTTTCTACGTTTCGAGCTCTAATTTTACGCAAGCGCCAAGGATTTGCGGGTATTTTCACGCGGCGGGAGGTCGGGATGCAGACGAAGTCGCCGCCTCGCCCCGCCGGTGTTGGCACTGACGAGCGGCTCCCGATGCTCCCAAAGGTGCTCGTGCCGCTCAAGGCCAATCTGCAAGATACTCCAATGCAAAAGAGCTTTGCGGAGTGCCTCCTCGAAGGCGCCAACAAGTGGTTTCCAAAGAAGCCAACGCCAACGACTAGCAACGATATCACACCACCAGAGCCGAGCCACACGATGATGCCCAGGATGGTCGACCTACGAAAGCAATGCAGCGCGCCCCAGGTCCTCGTTGGCGTGAATCCAAGCGAGCTCCCAATGCTGGATACGACCCATGACCTGTGTCCCCGCTGCCACGGCTTCCTAAAGCACGAGGTGATTCCCTCTCTGCCACACGACTGGACCGAGTGCAAGCTCAATTCGGGGCGCATTGGTTTTTTCAACCCCAAGACCAACGAGACGCTAGCGATTCCGCCACCAGGGATGCCACCGACCAGCTGCGTAGTATTCCAGTACCACGGAACGACGTCGCATGTCTGCCGCTGCCGCCAGCGCCGCAGCTCATTGATCTCGCCTTCACGCAGCCGCAAGTCTCGGCGCTACTCGACCAGCGCACTGATTGTGGCCGTCGCGGCCGACCATTCGAATATGCTTCCAGTCGAAAACACATCCACCACACTGAACGATACCCCTCCGATGGTGCGACAGTCATCAAATTTGAAATAACGACTCGTACAAAGTACAGATGACATCTCAAATGCTGGCGTCGCATACAGCTGCTTGGTGCTTGTCGGGCGGGTCACCTGATACCAAAGCACCGGCAGACCGACTGCTTGAAGAATGACAACCGTGTCGACAAGGAATTGTGTTTGGTGCGACCAGAGCTCGAGTCGATCCATCAACTTTAGTGGTCAAGACGGGCCCGGGGCCGCTAAAATATATGCCAATTGTTGTGGCAGATTAATCAACCGTGACTTTTGAGCAGGAAAAGGAGGGTCTGCGGCGGCACTATGTGAGGTGAGTCGTCCCATCTAGACTAAGGTTGAAGACAGAGAGCGCGCAGAACGAGTCCACGAGCTCGAGTTGCGCGGTGATCACGCAGTGTCTCGAGTCCGCAAAACAGCCGACCATGGGTGTTGTCGGTTGTTGTTGTTGAAGTGGGTCGTCTATTACAATAGATAAAACTATGCTAAATAAAATTGTCGGACTTTCTTCGTTGTGTGTACTCGGTTGAGGGACTTGATTTAGGCAGGCGGAGGCAGGAGCGCGATCCGCGGGACGAGGTGACGTCGCGGCCACTCGTGTTGGGCGAGGAGCTGGAGAAGACGACGAAGAGCAGGCTGCTCGGGCTCTTGTACGAGGCTGTGGTGCACGTGCAGTTGAGCGACGCGTGCCGCCTTGACGGCAATCGTCCATGGACTTGGCAGCGGTAGGTCGGCGCGGAAGACGCGGTCGTT